GCAAAGGAGAAAAACAAATGCTGTTGCTTTAAATCGGAACTGGGCATGCCTGGCTTTGGAATTCTGGGAGTTGAAGTCCACAAGTCTAAAAAAAAATTGAAACCCACCACTGTGTCAGTGCCTCACCAGCCATAAACCTCACGGCAGGTCACTGTACTTGTAGTATCCGCACTCATGGAACCAACCACACAGCCTTTAAATATGACACAAAACAATTATGGTCTATTTACTGGTGAAAGGTGAAAAAAATAAAATGTGTACTCAGATTAGTCATTCCTGGTGTAGGGCAAGGCGCCCGTTCGGTTCTCCCTGAACTCTTTCTCGGGAAAGGCGGAAAGCGAGTCTCCCGGGATTCGAAGCCCGCCGCCCAAAAACTCAGTCGGAGGACGCTTTGGGCTCTCGAAGCAGGCGAAGGCCTCCAAAGCGGGCACAGCCACGAGCGCCGGCGGGAGGAAGCATGTAGGCGCCCGCCGGCTTGGTTCTCCCTCCTCTCCGCCTTTTCCAACAGTTTCTCGGGCGGCGGGAGGGCCACGCCCCGGGGAAGAAGGCAGAGCCCGGCGCTGCCCAAGGAGGCTCGTTCGGCGAAGTCGCGTCCCTTTCCGAGCCTGAGCCAGGCATGGAGCAACTTTGACGGGGCTTCCCTCGACGCGCCCGGACAATGGGACGGGACAGAGCCCCGGGGGCAGGAGGTGAGTAGCTGGAGATTCTCCAGGCTGGCCCGAAGGCGTCGCCCGCCATCCTCGACGGTCAAGGGAGCTTTCGGACTTCCCGGCCGTCGGAGCGCGCCTTCTTGGGAAGGGGGCACTGTGAAAGGATCTGTTCAGGGAGCCCTCCCTTCCCTCGCGCAGGTCGACAGGTGTCCCCGAAAAGGAGGCAAAGACGGAGGGCGTCCCATGGGTGCAGCTCCCCTCTCTTTCCTAGGAGTCCCGCCGAGACCAAGCTGTATTTTTCCGGACACGGCCAGGGGAATTGGCTTAAAAGAAGTTGGGGTGGGCGGGAGAGTCGGCCCTGTTGCAGCCTGGCTGGACGTTTGTGGGGAGTGGGGAAGTGAGGCAGATCCGCTCGGGGCCTTGGGCTTTACTCCCGCGGCATCAGGACGTTTGCCAGGCCGCGTCTGGGAGATGCTTTCTGTTTATAATCTCGTATCCTGGGAGACCAGGCTCCGGTTATTTTGAGAAAGAACGCCGAGTTTCTTTTGCAGGCGACTCTTCAAGAAGCGGCAGCGAATGGTTGCGCAGAGGTTCCCTGCGAAGAAAAAGGCAATTGTAGGGCAGCTCGAGTTACTCCTCCGCCCGCTCCAGGGTATAATACCCCTGGGGGTGAGATCCGTTTTCCCCTCTTCCAACCAACCACTCGCGGATTTCCCACCCCATTTGTCGGGGGGGGGGGCGGAGGGGAGAAGGAAAAAAAAGGTTTAAAAGCACCGTATGAAATACAACAAACCAAAATAAAGTAAAAAGATGCAAAAGGCCGGCCCGTTTTTCAGGACGGTTTTGGAGGCTTTAAAGAAGAAATAAAACTTCTCTCATCATTACTGCTTGGCTAAATGAAGTACTGTGCAGTGTGGACAAATAAAAAGGGTATCCCTTTCCAACTGCTGTCAATTCTCTCGGCTGTTTCCCACAGTCTCTGACTTGCTCTTCTGTCCGGTCAGTTGCACTTCCGGTGCTGTAGAGGGCAGCAGGTATCCAGCGGATCACTACTCAAGATCTGGGGTTATTTTATAATTTGCAATGGAAGATGGTAACCAGAAGAGCACAAAAATTCAGTGAGGCCGCATTTGCATTTCACAATGCGGTGCTAAAATAATTGCAGCTGCTGAGATACTTTTTTTTGGTGTCATCTTTCTTCCCAGATCAAAGGCATGGACTGATGGCATGTAATCTACTTTTAGGGGAGTCCCCAAGAAACAGAATGTGTATCTTGTTTACTGGGGGTTCTGCAGCCTCCACTTTTTCTCCAAAAAGTTGCTAGTAGGGACATTTCTGTTGGCTTCAGACTGGATCCCAGCACCGTGAGTTTTCTGATTTCCCAGAGTGATTAAAAACTTTCTTATTCATTCTTCCCTCCTCCTTACCCACCTTCTTGAATCATAGGAGAAAAGAAAGTAAATTCTGCAATTTGCTTGAGTATGGCTCCTTGGTCACACAAGGAAAAATGTATTCCTGATCTATTGTCTCTCCCAACTCAATTGCATTTATAAGATGAGGAGCTAGCAGGTAGTTTTAAAGTTGGAGATAATGATCCCATTCACAAGATCTGTGCAATTTCTCAGGTGTAACCCTAATTTGCTTTTCAAAAGCAGTTTTTTTTTGCCTATAACGTAAGTGGTAGGGATCAAGGAGTTCAGTCATTCACCTACTCCATGCAATAATGCATGACAAGAATATTCCAAAGATGTTTTCCGCTTTGAAGGCAACTGTTTCCTGCCCCTCTAGGTATAACCAGAAAACATATTGAGGTAACTTTTCTCTTTACAGGAAACTGACAAGTAGATCAGTGATTCATTTGCTAATCTGAAAGCAATTTGTGCTTCTTGGGATACATTTTTT